ATCAACTCTACAAACTACAGGGTACGCTGAAGTAGCCATTCTAACCACCACTACGACCAGAAACTCTACCAAGGACATTGGGATCTCCGGTGGGCAACCCAGTCCTACATCATCAACTCAACTATCGAGGACAGCTACACGTAAATACATGTTGCATTTCCAATCCGAATGAGCGGTTATTAGAGTTCTAAGCATTTGTATTTCCGTGAGCGTAGTTTCCAAAGTAACAACGAAAGTTTGAATCTCTGTCGCTCCCTTCCACTCTGACCCCTCCTTCTAACCAAGCATTCATGCTATTGTTAGTCCAGTCCACTAGGGACCTGTTTCCATTGTATTATGTTAGTAATCAATAACCTATGTGTGTGTGTGTGTTTGTATTCTGTGTTATTATTTAGTTAGTTAGTAAATAAATAATTATGCCAATTTGTGCATCGCTGATTCATCAATAAGGTTAGGGTTCTTGCAGGTTCAAGGATTATGCGACGTTCAGAATGAGACTGATAAGAGGTCATTATTTAATAAGTGACTGTTATCGATATATAACATATATCTTCTAAAGAGTTTAATTCGGGAGATGGTAACTCGTTAAACAACTTCTTCCGTGGTGCCCCAAATTCCTAATGAGTTAATTGTTACATGATTAATTTAATTGAGTGACAATTAAACATAGTTAGTTGATTCGATAAATAACAGTCGCCCTATTAATGAAAGTAACGTCATGACACCCCCGTACCTTGTCACAACACAACTGATTGGCTCAAACGCATTAAGAAGGACAATGCAAATAGACTATTTTTGTTTTTTGTTTTTTTCATACCCCCCGTGGGAATCAAACCCACAACCCTGGCGTTGCAAACGCCATGCTCTACCAACTGAGCTACATCCCTGCCGGCCATTCCCTCCCCTACCCTGGACCAATTGTGCGCCGCCCCATGGGTCTCCCGGTCACGGCCGGCTACGACAGAGCCTGGATTCGAACCAGGATCTCTTAGACCACTGCGCCACTCAGGAGAGTTTATGTTGAGCAGGTCGAGAGCCTCAAGTTCCTCAGTGTCCAAATCACCAAGGACCTATCATGGTCCAAACACACCAACACAGTCGTGAATAGGACACGACAATGCCTCTTCCCCCTCAGGAGGCTGAAAAGATTTGGCATGGGTCCTCAGATCCTTCAAAAGTTCTACAGCTGCACCATTGAGAGCATCTTGACTGGCTGCATCACCGCTTGATATGGCAACAGCTCGGCATCCGACCGCAAGGCGCTGCAGAGGGTAGTGTGTACGGCCCAATAGATCACTGGGGCTGAACTCCCTGCCATCTAGGACCTCTATACCAGGCAGTGTCAGAGGAAGACCCTAAATATTGTCAGACTCCAGCCACCCTAGTCATAGACTGTTCTCTCTGCTACCGCACGGCAAGCGGTACCGGAGCGCCAAGTCTAGGTCCAAAAGGCTTCTTAACAGCTTCTACCACCAAGCCATAAGACTCCTGAACAGCTAATCATGGCTACCCAGACTATTTGGTTTTTACAAATAACCATTCAAATAAAAGTACTTGTTTTAGGCTGTGTATTAAATACACATGTATTTGAACCCAGGTCTGCCACCGTCACAAGGCTCATCGTCACAGACCATTTGTAGGCCTACTATATTTCTGTAGGCTTGTTCTAGTCCTCTCTCTCAACATACCAGATTTCTGCTACAAAATAAGCTTACACTTGTTGACCTACTGAATTTACTCAAAATTACTAAAGAGCTGTTAAACAGATACAGTGCCTTCAGAGAGTATTCATACAGCCTGAATTCAAAATGGGTTACATTGTTTTTTTCTCTCTCACCCATCTACACACGATACTCCAAAATGACAAAGTGAAAACGTGTTTGTAGAAATGTTTACAAATTGATTGAAAATTAAATACAGAAATATCTCATTTATATAAGGATTCACACCCATGAGTCAATACTTTGTAGAATCACCTTTGGCAGTGATTACAGCTGTTCGTCTTTCTGGGTAAGTCTCTAAGAGCTTTCCACATCTGGATTGTGCAACATTTTATCATTATTCTTTTCAAAATTATTCAAGCTCTGTCAAATTGGTTGTTGATCGTTGCTAGACAACCATTTTCAGGTCTTGCCATAGATTTTCAAATAGATTTAAGTCAAAACTGTTACTCGGCCACTCAGGAACATTCACTGTCTTCTTAGTAAGCAATTCCAGTGTAGATTTGGCCTTGTGTTTTAAGTTATTGTCCTGCTGAAAGGTGAATTCATCCCCAAGTGTCTACTGAAGCTGGTTTTCCTCTAGGATTTTGCCTGTGCTTAGCTCTATTCTGTTGTTTTTTTTCCTGAAAAACTCTCCAGTCCTTAACGATTACAAAAATACCCATAACATGATGTGGTCCTCTATAGCTCAGCTGGTAGAGCATGGCGATTGTAACGTCAAGGTAGTGGGTTCGATCCCCGGGACCACACATACACAAAAATGTATGCACGCATGACTGTAAGTCGCTTTGGATAAAAGCGTCTGCTAAATGGCATATTATTATTATGATCCAGCCACCACTATGCTTGAAAATATTTAAGGAAACAGGAAAAGTCGGGGCATATGATTAAAACATTCTACAAAGGTTACATTTGGCGCGTCTCTTTGCCTAGTCATCCAATTAGGCTTGCGTTTCCAAATTGAATCCTTGCAAGTTATAAGGCCATACAATAACAATTCTACATAATGGCACAGCATTTTATACTTCACTGTGGGAAACTGGCATGAATAAGTGTACCTTGCGTGTACCTTGCTGGCACTGGCATTTCCCCCATGCTTAGGTTCAAGGTCAGAAACGCATAGAGAAAAAAGTGAATAAAAAGGGAAAAAGTTCAATTTACACATGCTAAAATAGAGATCAACACATAAGCAATGTTAAGGAATGGCCAAACCTCAAACAAGTTATGCTTCCATTCTCTTCAACAGAGAGCAAAAACAAAGAAAAACGATTCTCTTTATCGTAAGTTAGCAGTGTCCAGTAATTGGTATTTTTGTTCATATTAGAGTAACTACAAAAACATGAGGTTTTGAGAAATCATTAAATATAGAGAGAAGGATTTATAGCAATGCTGTTGGCAGGAAAACATCATTACCACTTTGACCCATTTGGATGAAGCAAGTCAGAGCAACTACCATCCTAGCTACCAAGCCCCACCTACATCAACATATGCACAATGCATAGCCTACGGTACGTCACACTGGCACATTTACCAATGTATGGCGATAGTTTGTGTGTAAGAAACTAGATAAGAACAAGGATATTGTATTCACAAGTATGTTTGGAGTCTTTCAAAATGTTTCCTAGGTCAAAGCCATACCAAATTCCATCATACTGTATATAAGCACTTTCAACGTCAACATATTTTCCAATTAGGCTATAAATGTATGATTATTTTCACATTGAGATAGAATAATGTGGCTCAATGTCCCTTGAATTGAAAATGTATTACACAAAACAGTTGTGTAGATTGTAGTTTATTTGATTTTAAACACAGAATTTCATAACAGCTAAGCACATTGTCTATAATCTGTTTCATTGACCTAACATCCCTAATTCACAAATCATACAGCATTCATACAGTGTAAAACTGTCAAGTTAAATTATTCAGCTACTTTAGACAAACAAAGTCATTGTCAGTTTCAAATGTTTCAGTTGAAAACCTAAAAGTTCTGCCAAACATAATTTACAGCATACAAAAAAGCCACAAAATGCTGGAAATAAAATATATATATATATTTTTTAAATGACTAAGACAGTGGTTTGATCCAAAACAATTCAAGTCACTAATAACATTTGAATCTCTAATCGTACCAGTACACTCTTACGTGGCTGGACCTCTCCATGTAATTCGTCCTACCTGGCTGAGTTCCCATTACCTTCCATTGTATTATATAGTCGTATTGTTCTTTAGTCGTAGCGTTCTTAGTTTAAATTTGTGTTGCTGTTCCTGTCCATTAGTGTTCTGTATTTTGTCATGTTCTATGTTTTGTGTGGACTCCAGGAAGAATAGCTGCTGCTTCTTCAGTAGGAACATGTCACCCAATGAGTTTATACATCTGACAGACACATCACACATTGTATTCCATCTCTATTTCTATTCTTCACTATAATCTTTCAAAAATATTGATACTCTGTACTTCACAATAAAAGTATGTGGTCAAAATGGTTATAAAAACATTGCTTGGTCACAATGGTACCATCATCACTTGTATTATACGTTATAGAGCTTTGATGGTTCCTCCTCAGGCCCTGGCCTGGTGTTTTCTATAAAAGTCAGACATTTTGTGCAATTGTTTGATGAAAGAATCAAGTACAATTTGATGTCTCAAATGTTATAATTATTTTGTACTGGTTTAATGTTAAATAACATCAGTCCAATTCATATTAGGTACCAAAGAGACAGAAGAAATCAGCAGTATTTTCCTCTTTTTTTAAACAAGATTTTTTCCTTTAATGAAAAGACAGTAGATGCATTGCAAAGGGCACCCTATTCCCTATGTAGTGCACTATAAATGGAATAGGGTGCTATTTGGCATACACTGTCTGGAACAGAAATGGGTGAGGGGTGTGGGAGAGTTGAGGCTTAAATGAGGAGGGAGAAGCTGCCAGCTACTGAGGTTATTTCTCATTGTATATATAATGGCCAGACTACCAAGGTCAAGAAGTTGTGTGTGTGTGTTGGTCCTTTATGCTGATCCCACACTGTAAAGCTCATTTTTCAAGGCTCAATTGTTTTTCAAATAGTCCCCAAACGTGAGCATATTTTTCTAAATTAAGCAGAGATGAACACTCTTTTGTTACAGGAATAAATACAACAATGTAAAGATTAAAACACAAACATTTGAAGAGCGACATCTTCATATGAACCACAAATTATATCCTCTCCCATTTCTTCCGCAAATTATTATCACTTTTATCTATTATCTCTTCCACAAATGATTATCTCCCATTCATCATGGTAAAAAAAAAAAAAATCAGCAGAAATTAAATGTCATGTGTATATACAACAAAATCCACTCCAGGCCAGAGGGAATGAGGGTAAAATAAAACAATGGCCATTTTCAGTTGTAACGTAATGTATATGGAGCAAAATGTCTTCTGTACCACAACCCACAATACCCAGTAGTTTCTCAGTCCTGGATCATGTTCAGTAGGGTACACTGTCGCAAAACCTTTTGAAATGTAAAACTAAAATTAGCATTTCTTATTTGACTAGTCCAGGTATAGATCCTCCTTGTTTCAGTCAGTTTTCTTCCATTTATTGGCTAATGAACATGGCCCTGTTGTTCCAAAGATGCACTGGAACAGGGGGTTGATTGTTGTTGCTGTATTCAAAGTAGAGTGGGTCCTTTGGTTGTGTAGGTCATGGAGGGAAAGTGTCTGCTATCCACGTCCCACATCTTCCCGGCCTCAGCCCCAGCCCCACGGGGCCCCAGAGGGGAGCAGGGTCCTGGGGACTGGTGCTGGGCCGCAGGGGGGCCAGGGTGGCTGGGGGTCCAGTAGTTAATATAGCTGGCCATTAACAGAGTCAACTCCAGGATCTGGGAGAGGAGAAGAGGGAGAGAGGACAGGAGGAGGAGACCGTGCAGGGGAGAGGAGAAGACAGAGTAAGGAGGGGAAAATTGTTTAACCATTTTAAATGATTGAATTTCATTTGATCCAAGGGAGCTGGATGCACATATGCTCACATTTAGAAGTTCAGTTTAAAGCCAATGAGAAAACCATAGAAATGACTTGATATTGAGCCACCTGTCATGAATACAGCAGGACCTTATTAGCACGTCCCAGTAGTAATGCTTAGGCCAGGCATCAATCCAACACAGATTAATGAAAGGCGGCTCAAGACAAAATCACCTTTTAAAGTCAATTTCAGTGCACTGGTAATTTATCTGCGTTTCTGTGAATCGCTCCCTTTGGCTCCTCTGCTTTCTAAATCAACCTGCTTTCTAAATCAGCCCAAGGCAGTGGAGGGTAACCTTGCTATTATATAATGTAATAAGAGATTTGATCCAAAGCGACTTAAGGTACAGTGATGTGATCCCTGTGGGAATTGAACCGTTGAACCTGGTCGCTGCTAGTGGACCGTTTTCTGAGCCACACAGAACTGACAGGTGGACAGCACAACATAGCAGTAGCTCACCTCCTATTTTTCACGCTGGCTTTCTGCACAGTAAGATCCTATTGACTGACTGAAAGTTGGCAGAGCTGTTGTGGTCCATGATAATTATCCACTAACCGTTTTCAATGACCACTTGCACTTGGCCAGAGGTAAAGCCAAACCTACTGTAAGTCTTACCTACAGAAATACCTATAGAGCGGTTGCCAGATAATTGGAAGTTCATTTCTCTACCATAAGCCGCCTCCAACGTTGTTTTTGAGAATTTGGCAGTATGTCCAACCGGCCTCACAACTGCAGACCACGTGTATGGTGTCGTGTGAGCGAGCGGTTTTCTGATGTCAACGTTGTGAACAGAGTGCCCCATGGTGGCGGTGGGGTTATGCTATGGGCAGGCATAAGCTATGGACAATGAACACAATTGCCTTTTATTCGATGTCAATTTGAATGCACAGAGATACCATGACGAGATCCTGAGGCCTGTTATAGTGCCATTCATCCGTCGCCATCACCTCATGTTTCAGCATGATAATGCACGGCCCCATGTCGCAAGGATCTGCACACAATTCCTGGAAGCTGAACATGTCCCTGTATCAGTAGAGGTGCGTGGGTAAAATCACTGGAGAAGCCAAGCCAGAAAAAAAAGCCATATTACAACCTATGTGTTGTGATAATTGCATTGTTTGCTCTATAACCTGTTAGTTCATATGCCTTGACACCGTGATATATAGGCCTAAAGGCCGAGACAATAAGAAGACACAGTGGCAGAATAAATTCAACCACACCTTTGTTTCATCACAAAACCGGAGAGCAACCTCTGTCCGGTGAAGTACACAAAGCATATTGCATGTAACAAACAGTTACATGACCTACTGCATGGTCAAGCAAGTTAATCTTTCCGACATTTCGGACCACTAAACAACTATTGATTTAGAACCATGGAGAGTTACCACAAGTCGCAAAGAAAACAGGAGCTGCCTCCACTATTCCAGCACCATTTCAACTTCAAAATTTCAACATTTCAACATCATCAAATCACCTACGCTTAGTCTAATACAGTGACAACTAAAAGATACCAAAAACAATTTAGTCCAATCAACGTAAGCTAAATATGATGTGACTGTCCATCTTTCTGATTTCTGTGTGCGCGTGTGAGCATGTGCATTCGTGCAAGTAGAAAAAACATGTTGACTCACCCTACTTGAAGAGATACGCCAATGCCATTCTCCTATCTTTCATGTTGACGAAACAGTCTCTATCACTCTGTCATACAGTACACGCTTTTATTTTTTGTTGTCTTAGGCTACCTGGCTAAAATGTTTGCTCGCTAGCCAAACTTCCTTTCATGGGCAACATTAGCTAGTTAACATTAGCCTTCTACATCTAGCTACATATTGAACTTCCATCCTCTCAGGCCAGTGGCACAATGTATGAATTTATGATTGGATCAGAATTACCGTTATAATCATTGGCCAGTATGGATAATTAAGTAAAAGCACAAGTCCAAATACCTATCTCCATCTATGGCTAATTTAGGAAAGGAACAATTTTAGCTAGCTGGCTAGCTAGCCACGAGATGCAACAGTTCAAGTTGTTTCTGTCAATTACGTATGCGCTCGATGCGATTTGATAGGAGTTACGCCAAATCCAAACTGGCTTGCCTTGACACCTTTCTTTGGTGTGCCAGGACCATTCACAGTTGAGCTTACTCAGTTTAGCTCAACGCTGATTGGCCAAATGCTCACTGGCTTCACTTGCATTCAGTGCTACGAGTGGCAACAATGTCATCCTCTTTTGGACCAGACAGCATAATAATAATAATAATAATATGCCATTTAGCAGACGCTTTTATCCAAAGTGACTTACAGTCATGCACTAGATAGATGGCCTACACATACAGAAACAGAGGGGCGCTGGTTCGCTCGCTTGGATGCTTTCTCCGGTGAGATACATTCAGACTCTTGAGAATTTAAGGAAAATTATGAAACACAGAGAGATGAAAGATAAATTATTATTATATTTATTTTTGGGTGGTACATTTTTTCAGGAAGCCTGGCTTCCCTTGGCATCAATGAATACACGCCACTGCCCAGTTCTTCCATAGCCTGCATACTTACCAGAAATGTCACCCATTGAGCATGTTTGGGATGCTCTGGATCGACAGCATGTTCTAGTTCCCACCAATATCCATAACGTTGCACAGCCATTGAAGAGGAGTGGGACAACATTCCACAGGCCACAATCAACAGCCTGATCAACTCTATGTGAAGGAGATCTGTCGCGCTGCATGAGGCAAAAGTTGGTCACACCAGATACTGACTGGTTTTCTGATTCACGCCCCTACCTTTTCTTAAGGTATCTGTGACCAACAGATGCATATCTGTATTCCCAGTCATGTGAAATCCATAGATTAGGGCCTAATGCATTTATTTCAATTGACTGATTTCCTTATATGAACTGTTACTCACTACAATCTTTGAAATTGTTGCATGTTGCTTTTATATTTTTGATCAGTATAGAATGAAATAGAAAATATTCTATTTTTATGGCCTTACCTTGGGTTAAGACATACTGAAGACTAGGTAACCTTACCTTGGGTTTAGCCATAGAGACGACTAGGTAACTTTACCTTGGGTTTAGCCATAGCGAAGACCAGTTTCTCCACACTCTTCTTCCCTCCACCCTGCTCTTTGGTCTGGCTCACTACCACCATCAGGTCGTCACGGCAACCGCCAAAGGTGATCACTGATTGGTAGGAGTACATGACCAGAAGGTGCTGTAAAGGAATGGATTATTTATTTAATTTGTTTAAATATGTATGTGAATAGGAAAACACATTTGACCCCTTTTACACTAACTTTGATGGCTTTAATCTTATATTTTCACTTTTGGTTTGTTCGGTTCAGTAGTGTAAAAAGCCCTTAAAGGAAAATACTACTCAAAAATGATCTTTTGGTATTTGTTTAATTTGTCCACTGTTGATACAGTCCCAAAATGATGATGCAAAACACATCATACTGTGACACTTACTGTATATTGAAAGTTGATTGCTGACATGCAAAACATTTTGGGACTGTATCAACCGTGGACTAATTAAACAAATACCAAAATATAGTTTTTGAGTGGAATTTTCCTTTAAGTTATCTGTCTCTTCTCTCTTCCTGGTACAGGCCTGAGGATTCTTTCTTTGGGAATTAGTTTCTTGTTATTGTTTTCTCAAGAGACAAATTGAGCATGAACCATTGAAGCAGCATGACATCATTTCTATTGCTTTATTGTGAATTTTCCTTATTTTTTCCTTAAGAACTAGTAAATGTATTGGAGCATGAAAGGACACCAAACCAGAAATTACATAGAGGAATAAGGGTAAGATAATTATAGTGTTTTAAGTTTAACATTTGTTTATATCTCAGTCAGCATTTTGATCTCTTGGTAGACCCATATCTGGTGTCATATACTATTTGAAATCTTTCAAATACTTTGTCCTTTTTCTCCAGATGGGTGGGATTTGGTTTTATTAACCCAGGCAAGGTCAATCAAGCCCAGCTTAAGTATTTCAAATGATTTCAAATAGTATTTGAATTGAACCCAGGTCTGGTAAAATTGTAGGCCAGCAGTTTCTGTTTCCCTGTGGGGATCTGGTGTTTCAAACGCTGCAGTAGAAAATCATTCCAGACCAGTAGATCAACAAGCCTCCGCCACTGTGGCCTGGCAACAGCCAGACTGGTAAAGACAGAAGAGAAACCCCAAACCTTAAGTGCTCTGAATCTAAGCTAAGATTGTGCCCGTTTAAAAAAGGAATTACAGCGAATACCAATTCTGAGAGGTTGTTGTCTTTAAAAAAATTTGTAATGTAGGTAATTTATGATGGAAATATGATGTAATTTTCTGTTCAAGAGCTTTCTTCTGATGGTGGTCCTCTGACCACTGGCTATAGGTACTGAATCACTGAAACACGCCCACCTTGTGGCCACTTTTAGTACCAGTAATACCACACGGTTAGATTTTGACCTGCATGCATACTTTTAATATTCACTTATACCATGGTAAATGAGCTAAGGGAGCAGACATATAAACATGTAGATAAACACACACTTACCATGGTATAGTCAAGCACACACAGTCCATCCTCATTGACGGCTAGCCAAACCGGGGACTGCTCCACAGACGAGGGAGGTATAGGCTGCAGACAGAGACGGAGAGGAGAGACACAGATGGTATACAGAGACAGTAGATCAAGTTTCACGTTTTTTACGTCCCGTGCACAAGTACAGTGAAATGCCTTTCTTGCAAGCTCCAAACGCAACAATGCAGTAATCATTATCAATGTAGTGCTAAAAATAACATAAGGTGGAACAAAAACACACGAGAAATAAAAATAACACGAGAAATTAAGAAACAACACTACATTACCAAAAGTATGTGGACACCTGCTCGTCGAACATCTCATTCCAAAATCATGGGCAATAAAATTGAGTTGCTCCCACCCTTTGCTGCTATAACAGCCTCCACTCTTCTGGGAAGGCTTTCCACTAGATGTTAGACCATTGCTGCAGGGACTTGCTTCCATTCAGCCACAAGAGCATTAGTGAGGTCGGGCACTGGTGTTGGGCCATTAGGCCTGGCTCACAGTCGGCGTTCCAAATTCAAAAGTTGGAAGCACAGAATCGTCTAGAATGTCATTGTATGCTGTAGCGTTAAGATTTCCCTTCACTGGAACTAAGGGGCCTAGCCCAAACCATGAAAAACAGCCCCAGACCATTATTCCTCCTCCACCAAACTTTACAGTTGGCACTATGCATTGGAGCAGGTAGCGTTCTCCTGGCATCCTCCAAACCCAGATTCGACTGCCAGATGGTGAAGCCTGATTCATCATCTGGCTTCACGCGTTTCCACTGCTCCAGAGTCCAGTGGCGGCAAGCTTTACACCACTCCAGCCGACGCTTGGCATTGCGCATGGTGATCTCAGGTTTGTGTGCGGCTGCTCAGTTTCGCATTTCATGAGGCTCCCGATGAACAGTTGTTGTGCTGACGTTGCTTCCAGAGGCAGTATGGAACTCGGTAGTGAGTGTTGCAACGGAGGACAGACGAATTTTAAGCGCTACGCGCTTCAGCAGTCAGCGGTCCCATTCTGTGAGCTTGTGTGGCCTACCACTTTGCGGCTGAGCAGTTGTTGCTCCTAGACGTTTCCACTTCACAATAACAGCACTTACAGTTGACCGGGGCAGCTCTAGCAGGGCTGAAATTTAACTAACTGACTTGTTGGAAAGGTGGCATCCTATGACGGTGCCATGATGAAAGTCACGGAGCTCTTCATCAAGACCATTCTACTGCCAATCTTTGTCTATGGAGATTGCATGGTTGTGTGCTCGTTTTTATATACCTGTCAGCAACGGGTGTGGCTGAAATAGCCGAATCCACTAATTTGAAGGGGTGTCCACATACCTTTGTATATATAGTGTATATACAGGGTCAGTTCCAATACCATATTTAAAATGTGCAGGGATACTGGAGTGATAGAGGTAGATACTAGAGGTAGAGGTTTAATACTAATTGTAATTGTAATTATTTTGCACTATAGCCTATTTATTGCCTTACCTCCATAACTTGCTACATTTGCACACACTGTATATATATTTTCTGTTGTATTTTTTGACTTTATGTTTTTTTACCCCATATGTAACTCTGTGTTGTTGTTTTTATCGCACTGCTATGCTTTATCTTGGCCAGGTCGCAGTTGTAAATGAGAACTTGTTCTCAACTGGCTTACCTGGTTAAATAAAGGTTAAATAAAAATAAATAAATAAATAAAATACTGTATGTATAGGGGTAAGGTGACTAGGCATCAGGATATATGATAAACAGAGTAGCAGCAGCATAAATTATGATTGTATGTGAGTGTGTGTGCATGTGTGTAGAGTCAGTATAAATGTGTGTGCATGTTATGTGTGTGTTGGAGTGTCCGTGTGCATGAGTGTGTAGAGTCCTGTGAGTGTGCATAGAGAATAAAGTACAAGGGTCAACTCAGATAGTCTGTGTAGCCATTCTGTTAGCTATTTAGCAGATTTATGGCTTGGGAATAGAAGCTGTTCAGGAGCCTGTTGGTGTCAGACTTGATACACCGGTACCGCTACATGTATATCCGTGCTACTCAAGGTTTCAATAGGAATGGGGTACTTGTCTGGGTAAATACTGAAATACTAGGCCTTCCAAAAAGAGGAAAGAGGACAGCAACATCTATTTGATTATAGAGACCTTCCAAGTCACTGGAGACACCGAACACAGATTCAGCAAAAGCTGGAAACATACAGTACAGTACAGATACAATAGACATTCAGGAAAGCGGTAAAGGTTGTTTAGTCTACTTGCATCCCCACTTACCTTAGTACTGAAGAGCTTGGCACCGAACAACGGCCACTTCCTAGCGACGGTCAGGTAGATTCTGACACACTCTGAGGCACTGCAGCCACGCAGGACTGACCACTTAGTGGCCAGATGCTCTGATAGGTCTCTGAGGGGAGTTGAAGAAGAGAATTAGTCTGTCTGTCTGTCTGTCTGTATCGGCATCTTTATCTGGGTATAATGTGTGCACGTGGCCAGTATTGCCCGAGTTGACCCATGCTGCAGTCCTGTTAATAGCGTTTGGGGTAGAAGCCTGTGTCTTACATTATCTGTGTGTGAGGGTAATGCATTACCTGAGCTGGTTGTGCGTGTGGGTGTGTTACCTGAATTGGTCCATGGTGCAGTCCTGTTTGTAGCGTTTGGGGTAGAAGCGCTCCAGGGCCTGTATGAGGATCTGTTGAGTTTTGGGCTGAGGAGCGCTGTAACTAGGGGAGATCTGTTGGGCTTTAGGCTGAGGAGAGGAGCTACTGCTGGGGGAGGAGGAGTGGGCCGGACGGTCCAGGTCACCATGCTCTACCTGGGGAGGGACAAACCTGTAGCATGATGTACTTCAGTACCCATAATGCCCCTCTCCTTACCAAAGCACTACCAACCTGAGCCATGAGAGCAGCCACTTCCAGAGCCAACTCCTTGTTGACAGGGAAGTGTCCCTGGTGGACCTCGTCATTCACCTGGTAGGCCAGCAGGAGGCGCTCACGGTCTGTCTCCCCTTTAGCCTGGGCCCGGAAACACAACCTACACAAAAGACATCACAATGGTCAATGCATGATGTGTGTGGTGCTGAGCGATACTTTATTAGTTTTTTCTATTTGAAAAAATGTCCGTTGGTCTGCACCTCGTCATCCATTTTGGATGTCTTCAGCTCAACAATGAGCACATCAAGGAACTAAAACAAGGTAAAGCCTACCTGCTCTTGTATGTCAGACGGACGATGCGTGTCCCCTCATATTTCCCAGGATGCAGTTCTTTCAGGGCCTGTTCCCACTTGGAGATGACATCACAGATCTGTTGGCAGAGGTGAGAGTTAAAAGATCAATGAGTTAATTGTCTTCTACTTTGGAGCCAGGAGTTTTCCTGACCATGCGACCTGACCAGGCAGACCCATAGAGATAGATACAGGACTCATTATGGATAAAACTCGTTTTAACATGGACATTGCCGTTGAGGGTTTCCACCATTTTAAAGTAGTCAGGTGGGTGGGGATTCCTATGAGTTGGGCACAATCAACCAATGAAGACAATTGACTACTTTACAATGGAGATATCCTCGATGGCGCTGCCCATGCTGTCACAGATGCTATAATGGCGCAGATAAAAAGATGAGTCCTCTATCTATCTCTATGGGCAGACCCTGGTCTCCTGAACATTATTCCCTGTTCCCTGCTGTGATTCCAGTCTACCCCTCTGTTTACTGCCTTATACTTAGTTGCAGGCACTAAAAGGTTAGATTGTGTGGTATTGGAACAATTGCCGCAATGCATGTGCAGGTGTATAATCATAAGAGTATGTTGGTCCACACTGACCTTGACGCTGGGCTGTAGGCAGTGCTCCAGGTCTTTCCCTGAGGGGTCATCAGTGAAGAGGGCAAAGCCAGACAGGTGTGGTTTCCTCATGCCCACCCTCTGGTTCAGGGTGCTCAGGAACTCGTCTACTGTAGTGGAACCATCAAAGCCTACAACCTAGAGGACGGGACAGGACAGGAGAGTGTCACTTATTCAATGATTGGGTGTAACAGAAAGTGTGTTTATTCATAGTCCATTTTCCATTGGTCTGCACTCTCCATCTTCCTGACTTGGTAGGCGTTTGATTGTTAGTGTGCGATTTGGTTGCGTGTCTGTGTTTAGTGTGTTACCTCGTAGGTGTTGTTCATGAAGTGGACAGGGATGCTGAAGGGTAGTGAATGGTGGTAGGGATTCCTCAGTAGGATGGACATGATCTCCATACGTGACGGTTTGGCCTCTCGCTCCCCGTTCTGTAGGGTACGCTCCACAGACCTCTGACAGTACACTGCATACTTCCCCACCTCACTCCTACAAACACACAGATACACACACACACAGGATCATCAACAATGATCATACTATTCTGTAGTTGGATTATCTTTCACCGTGGGTTATCATTAATCGATTGGTGTGTGTGTGTGTGTGTTCGTGCATCCGTGTTTATACCTGGGGTCTGCATGACGCTGCAGATACTGTCTCAGGTACCACAGGAAGTGTTGCTGAGGCAGAAAGAGAGCCACACACACAGACAACAGCTGCCAGCACTGAGGAGAGGAGAACACACTATTTCACTACAACTCATACAACACTTGAGAGTAAAGCAACCAAGAATAACAGGTAACAAGTGACAGGAATATCTGCTGACCGGAACCAAACTGTGCTAACTCTGATATTGTTCTTATCAGATGGTGCTTTTCGACACATAGTGGATGTGTAACCAGGCCAGCCGTGCTGAGTAGTGGGAAATGGGTACCAGTCTCTAATGTACCTGAGTGAGGGAGTGGTTGTGTGGCGTGCGTCGGTTGGTCTGCTTGATCAACTGACAGTACATCTCGTTCTGGAGCTCTGGGTGCGTCAGGCAAACCTGCAATGCATTCTGGGCCAGGGATGTGTGGTAGTCGATGGAGGGAGACTCCACCAGCACGTTGATGAACAGCTGACAGGACTGAAGAAAGGAAGGGTAAAAGAGGGATAAAGAAGGTTTTACTTGCAGTGATCGTGATACATGTACGTGTTGAGAAACAATAGAATTAAACAAATTTTTAAAAAAACATTATTTTATTATTTAGCAAACGCTCTTATCCAGAGCGACTTACAGTTAGTGAGTGCATACATTTTTTCATACTGGTCCCCCGTGGGAATCGAACCCACAACCCTGGCGTTGCAAGCGCCATGCTCTACCAACTGAGCTACACGTGACCATAATCAATGTGTTTAAGGGGATCAGTTTAAGCAAGGGGTAGAATCGGTAGACTTGAGCACATAATGAGTAGTTATTTGGGATGTATTTTATGAAGGTTGATTTGTAGATCAGTGGCTCTGTGTAGTCAGACTGCAATATCAATCTAAAACACATGCAATGATACGTTGTGTAATACCACCTTTCTACCAGCAGGTGGAGGCAAATACATACTGTTGTGAGACCACCCACCTCAGGCAGAAAATTTGTAATGAAACATGCAGCAACATGAAGGTGTTTCCTACTTGGAGCCTGATTACAATTCTAGTGAAACCAAGTCAGGATGTAGCCGTCAAACAAGCCGGCCATGTCATGGCTGGAGGGCAACAAGAGAATGTTCACAGTCAGGATCAAGGCACTGTATAAATGAATACTGTGAAAACGATCCCATGAAAGAGCTTTTCACTAACCCAGTCGTGTCAGATCAGGGACTATACTTCAAAGACGGGGGGGGACAGAAGAGAAGGGTGAATGTTCAAAGTATTTGAACAGGAACAGATACTTTAAAGGGTTGTGCGTGAGCTCAATTAATCCATTCCTCTATATATGTAACACCAATCAGACAAAGCAACCCAAAATGTGGGGCCGAGGGAAAGCTCAGTGAAGCATAGAGAGAAGGGGAGGGGTGAGGCGGACTGGGAGGCCGAGTTGAAAAGAGAGGAACAGGATACATCAAGATCAAGGTCCATCCTCTTCCAGATCCACTTCATTACCCCCATCCCTGTCCCACTCCCTTCTCCCACTACTTCCTACATTCACTGGGCTGTCTGTCTGTCACACTCCCATCTCCTACTATTACATCTACCTCTCAACAAGCACAAGGACAAGAAGAATGGTTAGCTTCAATCAGATGAGATAATCACCCCCATTACATATTTTCCATACTTCTAATGAGCTAGAGACCCCTACCGTGAGGCTTTGATCTGTGAGCGGCGGTAGGGTAGAGGGGCATGGAGTGGATCCAAGAGAAGAGAAGGGGGATGCCTCTAACAGACAGACAGAAGGGCTGGGGCCTCAGTCAGAGCAGTAGACATGAATGCAGCCAGGAGAGGAGGAAGAGAGAGGGATTTGAAGAAATACAAAGGAAGAGAAAGTAAAGGGACTAAAAGAAAGGAAGTTCAAGCAAAGGAGAGGATGAGAGAGGGAGAGATGAAGGGACCAACCTTGAAGAGTTTGAGGGCTTCAGTCTGCAGAGCTTCAGAGGGTAGAGTGGTTAGAGGGGAGCGCAGGCCCTCTTTACAGAAACATAGAGCCTCACTCCTCCACAACGCTGAGTCTGAAAGAGAACACAAACACACACACACACACACACACACATTTTTGGGTTACAAACTCAAGTGGTGCAACAGCTGACCAGGAACAGCCCTGCTAGAGCCCAGTCATAAACACTGTCTGCAGATTGAAGACTGGATCAAGAGGTTTCAGTCAGTCCTCCTGGTTGAAAATAACATTAAAGAGCTCCTGACTAAATCTGGATCCTTGGCATCTGATACAGATCTTTTAAGGTATTCCTAGTCAACTGTTGTTAGTCAGTAGCCTTCTCATGTGTTATATTTGCATTTTATGATGTCAGACATACAGGCTTATTGATTGGATGACTGACTGATTGATTGATTTGGTGACTGTAGATGTCTTACCTGGGTCTCCCTCTACGTCCAGTAGGTTCCCGACCAACTGCTCGTACTCTGTGCCCACCTTGAACCTGGCACTGCTACCCGCCGCCACCACCAGGTGATACAGCCAGGTGTCCTGGACGAGAACAAATGGGAAATAATGGAGATAGGTTTAGTTTTTGTCATTTAGCAGACGCTCTTATCCAGAGCAACTTACAGGAGCAATTAGGGTTAAGTGCCTTGCTCAAGGGCACATCGACAGATTTTCCACCTAGTCGGCTCAGGGATTAGAACCAGCGACCTTTCGGTTACTGGCACAACACTCTTAACCACTAAGCTACCTGCTGCCCATTTTGGTAAGTGCCAAAATGTGGCTGTGTATTATATTTAAACAATAAGGCCAGAGGGGGAGTGGTATATGGCCAAATATTTTCTTACTTAAAAAAAAAATGCTGCATTGTTGGTTAAGGGCATGTAAGCATTTCACGGTAAGGTCTACACTGTTGTATTCAGCGCATGTGAGAAATACAATTTGATTTGATTTGTCTGTGGATAGCAATTTACATTTGAGTATTGTGTTTCCTGTTTACAAATATTGTTAGTTGAACTGTACTTCTTTACATAATACTGGCACTTATCTATCTCCATAGGAAGAGGTCATAGGTAAGATTTAGGCAATTAGGTTTAAGGTTAGGGTTAGAGGGTGTGGAGTTATAAGTACTGTACCTTCTCTTGCTTGGTGCCTATGAGCAGGTAGGTGGGGCTCTGCTCTCTGGGGTGGACCACTAGGGTACAATGGGACGACAAGAAGCCACGCCCACTGGCCTCGTAGTCCTCGTCTGAGTCACATGACCTGTCCACCTCCTCCACCGCCGCCTCGCGCATCTGCAGCTGGCCTAGGGGGAGCTGAGATGTGAAACACACACACACCAACACACACACACACATTTAGGGAATATATTCACATATGATATAGAGCAGAGCCAACCAAACTGGGGCGACGTCTGATTTGGCCTGCCACGACCACTAGGGGGCCTCTGACCAAAAAATGTATACATTTGGTAGTGCATCAGCAGTGTTCCTCATGTTATGTCAGTCACTGACAGTCAATCAATTAATCCATGTCAGCTAACATTTTATAGATTACTAGGTAAGTTAGTCTAGCCAGCTATCAAAGCCTTGTAGTAATCATGTCCAAATGATTGACCCGGGCACCCAAGGCACGTGCCAAGGGGCTCTGACCTCCAGAGGGCCCCCATTGATTTTGTTAGTCACTCTCACTCAGATATCATTTGAACGTAGCATAAATCATGGCAAAATGTGTAGAAATGCAGGGAATTAGCATTAAAACTGAGAGAGAAAAAAAAACTCCATCCCATGATGAAATATGTGGAATTGCAGGACATTAAAGGTGCTACATGTAACAGTCTTGCTTCCGTCCCTCTCCTCGCCCCTACCTGGGCTTGAACCAGGGACCCTCTGCACACATCGACAACAGTCACCCTCGAAGCACCGTTACCCGTCGCTCCACAAAAGCCGCGGCCCTTGCAGAGCAAGGGAAACAACTATTTCAAGGTCTCAGAGCGAGTGACGTCACCGATTGAAATGCCACTAGCGCGCACCGCTAACTAGCTAGCCATTTCACACCGGTTACATACACATAGGATTGTTTTGAATGTTTGCATTATAATTTCAGAAAATGTCCATAATATATCTGCAGTAATAGTGGAATCATAGTGTTTCACAGTATTAATTACACGACAGTGTTGTGATTGGCTGTTATATTTGCCTATTGACTTCTCCCGCCGAAGGCGGCTTCTGTGTCAAAATGGGAAAGCTGTTCTGACTTTGTGGCTGTATTATCTAGTGGAAATCTCTGTCATTTCCTGGTTGCTAAAATTCTAAGCTGTTCGCTCAATTTCAGTTTATGTGAAAATACAAGCACTGAATAATGCAGGGAATCAGTGTACCATCTAAATGGCTGTGAAATATATTTTCAACAACAAAAAATATGTTTTTTTTCAGCTGTTTGAAGCAGGTGGACCAAAACCGCTTCAAACAGCTGTAAAAACAATATTTTTTGTTTTTGGAAATATATTTAACAGTGATTTAGATGGTACAATGATTCCCTGCACTATTCAGTGTTTGTTTTCTCACAAACTGAAATTGAGCGAACAGCTTAGAATTTTAGCAACCAGGAAATGACAGAGCAATTTTCACTAGATAACACAGCCACAGAGTCAGAACAGCTTTCCCATTTTGACAACAGATGCCGCTCCCACGGGAGAAATCAATAGGCGAATCACAACACTGGCGAGTAAGTAATACTGTGAAACATTATCATTACACTATTAGTGACAGATATATTATGGACATTTTCTGAAATTACATTTTCTGAAATCCTGTGTAACACCTTTAACTTTAAAGCTACAGCTGTTTTTCAAGTTATTAGCTTTATGAACATAGAAACTTGATTGGAGTTTCTATGCTATAATTGTAACAATTTTAATACATCTTTAATACTGGTAATCAGAATGTGTTGTTAGGTGTCAAAATATATGGTTACGATTTGATTAATGTTTGAAGTGTAATTTTATGATTACATTTTAAAAAGCTATTGATTGAAGACCCTAAAAAGCTATTGCTTACCTTTTATTTTTCTAACTAAATATTTAGAAAATATGTATAAATATTTTGCTTTCCCTTTATTGTTCGGCCCGCGGCCCACCAAGCCCAAAAGTTTGAGCACCCCTGATATAGAGACTGGCAACAATGGAGGACACATGAAGGTAAGTTTAGGAGGAGAAAAGGAAGGGAGTACCTTGTCATCCTGGTTCCTGTAGTAATAAAACACCTTGCTGACCAGAGAGCACCACACCAGCTTAGAGTGGCCATGCTTCACCTAGAGGAGAGAGAGAGAGAGAGTGAGAGAAAGAAAGAGAGAAAGAGAGTGAGAGAGAGATGAGAATGTGTAAGGGTAATACATTCAACACCACTGACTGTATAGTATATTTCTCATTTGAACACCAGGTGGCACTAGAGAGTGGGTGTGTGCGTGGACTTCTGGCTACACGTCATTATGACTCATAATCCCAGCTGTACATCTCTTCATCAGGGTCAAAGGCCAAATATGCAGCGAGCGAGATAGTGAACCAACAGTACATCACTACAGAGCTCTGAGGTGTATAACGTCATAGTGTAGAGATCAAAGCCTCTGTAAAGGAAGAGTAGGGAGAGGGTTCATCTGTCAGTCAGCCGTAACACACACCCCTCTGATGTTAGAAGGTCACCTAGCCCCCTGTATTAACCATAGACAGATACACCTCAGTGGAGAGAGACAGGAGAGAGCCAGAGGGGGATGGAGTGAAAGGGGGGCTATCACTCAAACATTCCATCATCCCCTGACCAGCAAGGGATCCTGACCATAGCCGTGTCCCAACGGGAATTAGCTTTCCAGGAATCTGCCTGAAGTGAATGCCTTCCGGCAAACTGTGAATTACAATCGAAAAAATTGTTAGTTTAAACTTTCCTGACTGTGTCCTAATATGAAACATATTGTTGATATAATAGGTCTCTCTACATTGGGTGAGAATAGCTGTATTGTTCTGTATTGCCTTTGAAACAAGGGTTGTCCTTCCATTAAAACGGTAAATTAAAAGCTTCCATGAAAACTCTCTGTGTGTTTGAGAGGATCGCCTGAGCAAGTCCAGAATCTGTGATCTACAAATCATCCTGCTTACATCCCAATGAACCACTCATTATGTGATCAAGATAAGCAATTCTGTACCTCGCCTTGCTCAAGCCAATCCCCTTAAACATGCTGTCTGTTTCTCATCTCTTAGGCCCCGGCTACAGCACAGTGAAGCATTGACCCCTGACCTTAGTGAGCCAGCCCCTCACGGTGGGTTTGGCTGCGGTGGTCTCCATGGCGACAGGGCTGCTGGCCTGGACCTTGAGGATGTTCTGTAGAACTCTGATCCACTCCTCTAAGATGTTGGGAGAGTCAGCCGTCAGGTAGAACGTCTTCTTCTCCGTTATCAACTGATTAGAACAGGAGAATGAGAAAATATGAGAGAAATGCATTAACGAGTGTGAAAGCATGCCTGTGAAAGTGTGCCTGTGCAGGCAGGTAGGTAGGCAGGCACAGACACATACACGTAAGCAAGCATACACACACACAGGCACACAAATCAAATTTTACATTTGACATTTTAGTCATTTAGCAGACGCTCTTATCCAGAGCGACTTACAGTTAGTGAGTGCATACATTTTCATATTTTCAAATCAAATGTTATTTGTCACATGCTTCATAAACAACAGGTGTGGACTAACAGTGAAATGCATGTTTTTAACTTACGGGCCCTTCCCAGCAATGCAGAGAGAAAGAAAATAGAGAAATAATAAAAAGTAAAACCCGTAATAATAAATACACTATATATATGGGGTACCAGTACCGAGTCGATGTGCAGGGGTACGAGGTAATTGAGGTAAATATGTACATATAACTAGGAATAAAGTGACAGATAGTAAACAGTAGCAGCAGCATATGTGATGAGTCAAAGTTAGTGCAAAAAGGGTCAGTGCAGATAGTCCGGGTAGCTATTTGGTTAACTACACTGCTCAAAAAAATAAAGGGAACACTTAAACAACACAATGTCACTCCAAGTCAATCACACTTCTGTGAAATCAAACTGTCCACTTAGGAAGCAACACTGATTGACAATACATTTCACATGCTGTTGTGCAAATGGAATAGACAACAGGTGGAAATTATAGGCAATTAGCAAGACACCCCCAATAAAGGACTGGTTTTGCAGGTGGTGACCACAGACCACTTCTCAGTTCTTATGCTTCCTGGCTGATGTTTTGGTCACTTTTGAATGCTGGCGGTGCTTTCACTCTAGTGGTAGCATGAGACGGAATCTACAACCCACACAAGTGGCTCAGGTAGTGCAGCTCATCCAGGATGGCACATCAATGCGAGCTGTGGCAAGAAGGTTTGCTGTGTCTGTCAGCGTAGTGTCCAGAGCATGGAGGCACTACCAGGAGACAGGCCAGTACATCAGGAGACGTGGAGGAGGCCGTAGGAGGGCAACAACCCAGCAGCAGGACTGCTACCTCCGCCTTTGTGCAAGGAGGAGCAGGAGGAGCACTGCCAGAGCCCTGCAAAATGACCTCCAGCAGGCCACAAATGTGCATGTGTCTGCTCAAACGGTCAGAAACAGACTCCATGAGGGTGGTATGAGGGCCCGACGTCCACAGGTGGGGGTTGTTCTTACAGCCCAACACAGTGCAGGACGTTTGGCATTTGCCAGAGAACACCAAGATTGGCAAATTCGCCACTGGCGCCCTGTGCTCTTCACAGATGAAAGCTGGTTCACACTGAGCACATGTGACAGACGTGACAGGGTCTGGAGACGCCGTGGAGAACGTTCTGCTGCCTGCAACATCCTCCAGCATGACCGGTTTGGCGGTGGGTCAGTCATGGTGTGGGGTGGCATTTCTTTGGGGGGCCGCACAGCCCTCCATGTGCTCGCCAGAGGTAGCCTGACTGCCATTAGGTACCGAGATGAGATCCTCAGACCCCTTGTGAGACCATATGCTGGTGCGGTTGGCCCTGGGTTCCTCCTAATGCAAGACAATGCTAGACCTCATGTGGCTGGAGTGTGTCAGCAGATCCTGCAAGAGGAAGGCATTGATGCTATGGACTGGCCCACCCGTTCCCCAGACCTGAATCCAATTGAGCACATCTGGGACATCATGTCTCGCTCCATCCACCAACGCCACGTTGCACCACAGACTGTCCAGGAGTTGGCGGATGCTTTAGTCCAGGTCTGGGAGGAGATCCCTCAGGAGACCATCCGCCACCTCATCAGGAGCATGCCCAGGCGTTGTAGGGAGGTCATACAGGCACGTGGAGGCCACACACACTACTGAGCCTCATTTTGACTTGTTTTAAGGACATTACATCAAAGTTGGATCAGCCTGTAGTGTGGTTTTCCACTTTAATTTTGAGGGTGACTCCAAATCCAGACCTCCATGGGTTGATACATTTGATTTCCATTGATCATTTTTGTGTGATTTTGTTGTCAGCACATTCAACTATGTAAAGAAAAAAGTATTTAATAAGATTATTTCATTCATTCAGATCTAGGATGTGTTATTTTAGTGTTCCCTTTATTTTTTTGAGCAGTGTATTTAACTAAACATTTTGCATTCTTATGGCTTGGGAGTAGAATCTGTTTAGGGTCCTGTTGGTTCCAGAATTGGTGCATCGGTACTGCTTTCCAAGAGAACAGTATATGACTTGGGTGGCTGGAGTCTTTGACCATTTTTAGGGCCTTCCTCTGACACCGCCTGTTATAGAGGTCCTGGATGGCAGGGAGCTTGGCCCCAGTGATGTACTGGGCTGTCCGCACTACCCTCTGTAGCGCCTTGAGGTCGGATGCCAAGCAGTTGCCATACCAAGCGGTGATGAAGCCAGTCAAGATGCTCTCAATGGTGCAGCTGTATAACTTTTTGAGGATCTGAGGGCCCATGCCAAATATTTTCACCCTCCTGAGGGGGAAGAGGCATTGTCGTGCCCTCCTCACAACTGTGTTGGTGTGTTTGGACCATGATAGATCCTTAGTGATGTGGACACCAAGGAACTTGAAGCTCTCAACCCACTCCACTACAGCCCTGTCGATGTGAATGGGGGCGTGCTCGGCCCTCCATTTCCTGTAGTCCACGATCAGCTCATTTGTCTTGCTAAGGGAGAGGTTGTTTCCCTGGCACCACATTGCCAGATCTCTCACCTCCTCCCTATAGGCTGTCTCATTGTAGTTTGTGATCAGGCCTACTACCGTTGTGTCATCTGCAAACTTAATGATGGTGTTGGAGTTGTGCACGGCCACGCAGTCATGGGTGAACAGGGAGTACAGGAGGGGACTAAGCACGCACACCTGAGGGGCCCCCATGTTGAGAGTCAGCGTGGCGGATGGGAAAGGGCAGTATGGAGAGCAATAGAGATTGCATCATCTGTGGATCTGAATTGGAGTGGGTCCAGGGTGTCTAGGATGATGATGTTGATGTGATCCATGATCAGCCTTTCAAAGCATTTCATGGCTGCAGATGTGAGTGCTCCGCAGCGATAGTCATTTAGACAGGTTAACTTGGCATTCTTGGGCACAGGGACTATGATGGTCTGCTTGAAATATGTAGGTATTACAGACTTGGTCAGGGAGAGGTTGAAAATGTGTGTGAAGACACTTGCCAGCTGGTCAGTGCATGCTCTGAGAATGCATCCTTATCCGGCCTTGTGAATGTTAACCTGTTTAAAGGTCTTAATCACATCGGCTGTGGAGAGCGTGATCATACAATCGTCCGGAACAGTTGGTGCTGTCACGCATGATTCATTGTTGCTTGCCTCAAAGCGAACATGGAAGACATTGCGCTCGTCTGGTAGGCTCGCGTCACTGGACAGCTCGCGGCTGGGATTTCCTTTGTAATCTGTGATAGTTTGCGAGCCCTGCCACATCCGACGAGCGTCAGCGCCGGTGTAGTAGGATTCGATCTTAGTCCTTTATTGACACTCTGCCTTTGATGGTTCGTCGGAAGGCATAGTGGGATATCTTAAAAGCGTCCGGGTTAGTGTACGGCTCCTTGAAAGCGGCAGCTCTAGCTTTTAGCTCAGTGCAGATGTTGCCTGTAATCCATGGCTTCTGGTTGGGATATGTACTGTACATATGGTCACTGTGGGGATGACATCATTGATGCACTTATTAATGAAGCCGGTGACTGATGTGGTAAACTCCTCATTTCCATCGAATGAGTCCCGGAACACATTCCAGTCTGTGCTAGCGAAACAGTCCTGTAGCTTAGCATCCGCTTCATCGAACCACTCCGTATTGAATGCGTGACTGGTACTTCCTGTTTGAGATTTTCTTGTAAGCCGGAATCAGGAGGATAGAGTTATGGTCAGATTTGCCAAATGGAGGGCGAGGGAGAGCTTTGTATGCCTCTCTGTGTGTGGAGTAAAGGTGATCTAGAGTTTTTTCACCTCTAATTGCACAGGTGACATGCTGGTAGAAATTAGGTAAGACGGATTTCAGTTTTCCTGCATTAAAATCACCGGCCACTAGGAGCTCCGCCTCTGGATGAGGATTTTCTTGTTTGTTTATGGCCCTATACAGCTTGTTGAGTGCGGTCTTAGAGCCAGCATCAGTTTGTGGTGGTAAATAGACAGCTATGAAAAATATTGGTAAATACTATGGTCTACAGTTTATCATGAGGTATTTTAACTCAGGTGAGCAGAACCTTGAGACTTCCTTAATATTAGAGATTGGGCACCAGCTGTTGTTAACAAAGGGACCCACACCACCCCCTTTGAGCTTACCCAACGCTGCCATTCTGTCCTGCCGATGCATAGTAAAAAACAGCTAGAATATTATCCATGTCCTTGTTCAGCTAAGTTTCCGAGAAACATAGGATATTACAGTTCTTCAGGTCCCGTTGATAGGATAGTCTCGAACGGAGCTCGTCCAGTTTATTCTCCAGTGATTGTACATTTGCCAATAGAACAGATGGTAGAGGGGGTTTATTTACTCTCCGTAGTTTCATCAGTGTGCCCACACATCGGCCTCTATATCACCATCTCTTTCTCTTCCGAGTGTCGGGGATTAGGGCTTGTTCAGTGGTGAGCAGTATGTCCTGCGCCACTGACTCATTGAAGTAGAAATATTCAGACAAATCTAGGTTAATGATCGCTGTTCTGATGTCCAGAAGCTCTTTTCGGTCATTGGAAATGACGGCGAAAACATTATGTACAAAAACAAGTTAACATCAGTGCAAAAAAACACACAACCTAGCAGAATTGGTCAGGAGCTCGTAAAACGGCCGCTATACATTCCAGCACCATTTTCACACGGATGCACGCCCCGCACACACGCATGCACACACACACACACACACATGCACGCACACACACACAGACCCACAGACACACACACATACACACACACACACTCTAAGTGGTCAGCGATACAGTAGCATCACCAGGTCAGTAAAGATAAGGATCAGCTTTAGAACACAACATTTCATTCCCTGCAAGGCTATAGCTGATGATGTTAAGCCCGTCTGCGTGCTGCACTTTCTCTTTGACCCAGTTTGGTACTGGTGGTAGGTTAGGGTGTGTGCGTGTGTACAGGTATTCTAGGGAAGCAGAACCAAATGTTGGTTTTCAGTCCCTCTTCACTATCACTCACCTGGAAGGTCTGTGCTCCTTCTCCACGGGCGATCCTGCAGGAAGAGTTCAGCTCCATCTGACCCTGAGGCTTCCGTATAACGTCGCTCTGAAAGACCATGACAAAGACCATAGGAGTTGGCAATACAGCTCAAACAGATCTGGGACCAAGCTAGAGCAATCTTGTAGAACTAATTCTGTCAGAAAAACAGATGGTGATAAAGCAGATAGTGATGACGTGTGGAGACTCACAGGAGACTTGTAGTAGAGTATCTCTCCGTTCCTCAGGATGAACCAGCGTCTCTTCCAGGCCTTCACCTGACTGCCCATCTTCAGCAGGTACCCTGACTTCTCCAGCATCTCCTGTATGGGGACATACAGTATTGTTGTATTGTATCGTTCTGTTCGTGCGGTATGGTTTGGTATCATTTTGTTTAATTTTGCACTGTATCGTATCGTACTGTAAATGGTCACTCACAGGCTCTCGCAGGCTCTCACAGGAGTATGAGGATGTTCTCTGGACTTTGTGTTCCGGCTCAGAGTAGTCAGAGTCCAGGGAGTAGGCATCAGGTGGGATGGCATAGTCACTCTCAGAGCTGATGGATGACATGGACACACCTGGAAAGGTCAAAGGTCAGAGGTCAACAAACTGACAGACAGGTGACTCAGGTGACGGACAGCTGATGGACTTATTGTCAAACACTAGACCAGTGTCTCTCAACTGGTCCTCCAGATGTCACTGTATGGTCCCTTAGATGGTTAGCTAGCCTGGCACTAATTTAGTTAGTTCTCAAGTACTAGTTTACATGTAAGCAGGCCTCCATAGAGAAGAACCATAGCTTGTTGGTCCCTGGTACAGTACAAAAAAGTTCAGAAACACTGATGTAGACCCTGTAACTACACTATATAGACAAAAGATTGTGGACAACCCTTCAAATTAGGGGATTCGGCTATTTCAGCCACACCTGTCAACAGGTGTTTAAAACCGAGCACACAGCCATGCAATCTCCATAGACAAACATTGGCAGTAAAATGGCTTTACTGAAGCTAAAGTCAACTGTAAGTGCTGTTATTGTGAAGTGGAAACGTCTAGGAGCAACAACGGCTCAGCCACGAAGTGGTAGGGCACACAAGCTCACAGAACGGGACCGCCGAGTGCTGAAGTGCGTAGCCCGTAAAAATCGTCTGTCCTCGGTTGCAACACTCACTACCAAGTTCCAAACTGCCTCTGAAAGCAACGTCAGCACAAGAACTGTTAGTCGGGAGCTTCATGAAATGGGTTTCCATGGCCGAGCAGCTGCACACAAGCCTAAGATCACCATGCGCAATGCCAAGCGTCGGCTGGAGTGGTGTAAAGCTCGCCGCCATTGGACTCTGGAGCAGTGGAAACACATTCTCTGGAGTGATGAATCACGCTTCACCATCTGGCAGTCCGACGGACGAATCTGGATTTGGCGGATGCCAGGACAGCACTACCTTCCCCAACGCATAGTGCCAACTGTAAAGTTTGGTGGAGGAGGAATAATGGACTGGGGCTGTTTTTCATGGTTCGGGCTAGGCCCCTTAGTTCCAGTGAAGGGAAATCTTTAATGCTACACCATACAATTACATTCTAGACGATCCTGTGCTTCCAACTTTGTGGCAACAGTTTGGGGAAGGCCCTTTCCTGTTTCAGCAAGTCTCCGCAGTAATGTTCCAACATCTAGTGGAAAGCCTTCCCAGAAGAGTGGAGGCTGTTATAGCAACAAAGGGGGGACCAACTCCATATTAATGCCCATGATTTTGGAATGAGATGTTTGATGAGCCGGTGTCCACATACTTTTGGTCATGTAGTGTATGTTCCTTCTTGTGTCAGGGACCAACAACCTATAGTTATTCCTCGTTGGAAGACCGCTTACATGAAAATAAGCACCGGAGAACAGACTAAATCAGTGTCAGCTAACTATATGAGGGATAGCAACGCTGATGTAGCAATGCTCACCCCTCTTGACGGCGCGGGGGCTCCCAGGGGTGCTTCCCTTCCTGTCTGTGCCCAGGGTGGAGGTCCTGAGGCTGGCCAGAGAGCCACTGTCATCCTCCGAACCAGAGTCATCATCAGGCAGGGGCACACTGCTGATCTGAGTGGCTTTCTGCAGACACACACAGGAGAGACTTTTAGATATTCCTCAGCACATACCACAGTCCATAGGGAGTTGATATGTTATTGTCAGTTTGTCACAGTTCGAGCTACTGTAGAGTATGGTACTTACCCCTTTCAGTGTGGTATACACGGGTACACTGATGTTCTTGTAAATCAGGTGAGTGAATGGTCCTGCGGCGGGGTAGTGCGGTAAGCTGGACCCTGCAGAAAACAGGGTTTCTGTCCTTACACATCTCTTTAAAGAGCTCATAAAAGCTTCCCAGATCGCTCCTGCACAGGTGTTATTTAGCCCCCTCAGGTGATAGGATGTTACATCAAAAGGAGCACTGACAGATCCCATACTGTAACCCAAACAGACACAGAGAGTCTTTTCCAACATCAGCAGGGTAACTCACCTCGCCCAAGACCTCTGGCTCCTGCGGTCGCCTCTGATACTCTCATCCCTGACTTGGCTACAGCATAGATACGGCTCTCCTGTAGAGCACATAGATCAATGTGCAAGCATGAGTGTGTTTGTGTTTTACAGATGCAGTGAAATATATTGGCACTTTACAATGGAGTACTAATTGAGCTCTCTCTCTCTCTCTTTATAAAATGGGTTGAATGACTATTTTTACCCTGAAACTTACCACAGGTGAGATAGATTACTGAAAGAATTATGAAAATGTAAGTCACTCCGGATAAGAGTGTCTGCTAAATGACTAAAATGTAAACATGTTAAATATATATTACATATTACTAGTTACATTTAACAAAAGTAACACATTACTTTACAATATCACTTTGTGTGGAAAGTAACGCGTTATGTTATTATTATATTACTTTCCATTACTTTCATGAAAAAAAGATACGCTACTTTCTAACTCAGGTTTGATCACTAGAGTCTCCTTTCATCTGTGGCGCTGCTTTTCTGTGCTAGTCTACAAGTGCTGCGCTATATTTATGGGCTGCTTAATTAGCCAAATATACTGTAAGCCAAACATCTGTACAGATTTCCTATCTTTTCATTCAAAATCTTTCTCTCGAGCTGCTAGTTCTGGTTATAGACCACACACTTGCCACACAGACACGATCCATGGCAAAGATCAGAGGTGCGTCCTCTATACATTTATATGGACAGCAGCTGTCATTACATTTCTCCGAACAGCCTTTCTCCGCTCGCTCGAGAACTAAATGAGGAAACAAGTCGAGATCGGATCATGGAAACACGCGCCCGGTATAGATATTATTCTAAAAGTAACACACGCGTTGTTTGACAAAGTAACTGTAATAATATGACCAAATTTGAAAAAGTAGCACGTTACTTTACTCTGTTACTCCAAAAAGTAATCTGATTACGTAACACGTAACTTTTGTAACGCGTTACCCTCAACACTGGTCTTACCCAGGAGGGAAAGCGGTGCAGAGGAGGGGTGGGGGGTTTCAGGACATCCGGGTCCAGCAGTTCCAGCTCCTCAGCCAACCCAATAAACAACACTTGTTCCTGGGGAGGACCTTCTACCCCGGCCCCCTCTACCACCCCCTCCATACTGTCAGGCAGCCCATCATCTATATCTGTCTCCTCCAGGACATGACTGCAGGTGGAAGGGGACACATAGCTCTACAGGGTGCAGAAGAACAAATACTTCAATTGCAACTACATCAAGTGAGTGAGGTCAGGTCCCCTTTTTTGATTGTTACGTGACAGACTGTTGACTTCATGCACCCTCTCACTGTTTTTGTACAACAGGATAGAGTTGAGCATGCTCCCTCCCTTTACCTGGATGCTGGAGGCAATCATGGTGTTTATGGGGACATTGAGGTGGTGCAGCCGGTCCAGACCTCCAGGCTGGGGCTGGCTGTAGTGTTTCTTCACCAGCTGGATGCTGTCGCGGGGGGTCAGGGGCGTCCGCACCTGTTAGTTCACAAATAAAGATGACATGATTGATTGAAATTTGATTGATTGATTGATGTGGTTCAAGTTCAACGAAGTTTATTAACTGATTACATCCCAGAGCGGCCATCACAAATAGGCACAGTCAAACAGAGCAGGGATTCTTGAAGGTTGGGACAATCCTTTCTTTTTATAGTAAAAAAAAAGATTTTGTTACATCATTTGAGCTTAGAAATTACATTTAGGGCAATTCTATAAGGGGAAAGATTTGTTTTTAGAATTTTCCAAAATATTTTCAAAATGTTTCATTTCCATGTTGGCTCTATGCCTGGAAATGCCCTTGTCCGAAGCAAAGGATCCCAACTCAGCAAAAAAGTGTTTAAAGTTCTAAAAACTGGCATTAATGAATATGAACTGAAAAAAAGGTCTTATGTAGTTTCTTGCAATAGCCCTTTCTAACTTTAAATAATATTTTTCTCAAAAACGTGATTCCCAAAAAAATTGTCAGGAGATTTGATCAACTCCTTCAGATTTGTCTAAAATCCTACATTAATCAGGAATGAGCAGGGTTAGCTACACCATAAGGACCAATTGTTCATGTCCTCAATACATGTCGTGCAACAAGATCACTCATGGTCTGTAAAGATCTCTACTTTTGATAGATTCATACTAAAAATATTGTCAACTCCAGCTCCCTGATAGATTAAGATAAAATGAGAATTTTGGTTCAAATATGTTTATTTTAATTAGGTTTTAGTCATAAAGCAACTGAGGAAAATCTAAATTGATACTTTGTATACCACTTGAATGAAGAAGAAAAATGAAATTTTTGTTGACTCTGTAAAATATAAACTGTGTCAGGTTTTTGTCTAACCTCAACTGTCAGATTGCGGAAAGATCAGATAGAATGGTTATGTTTTACTGGCGATTTTAAAATGAATAATTTTCTATATTGTACAAATGCTTATATTGAGTATTTGTTGTCAACTCCGTCATTGACTTGTCAACACCCTCACTGATGGCTAACCCCCTTAAGATATTTTGTATCACTATTCTGCAACATATGCTTAAACTATTGAAGTATTTGCTTTGCAAGATCTAAGGGATAATGTTTGTTTCCCCCCCCATCTTTTTATACAACGGGTGGGTCTAATCCTGAATGCTGATTGGTTAAAACTGCATTCCAGCTGGTGTCTATTCCACAAGTTACCACCGGCTAAATCTATGACGTTAAAATGCCTATTTACTCTGTTCCATCTGACTGCACAATCCACTGTCTCATCAGCCCAGCCAGGAAATGTATAAACTTGATCTCCACTATAAAAAGTATCTAGACATTATCTCCCATTTCTTTTAGAATAGCATTTGGTTTTCAACAGCAGAGATTTGTATAAATCAGACAACTAAAGCCCAACTAATTCCTCGTAAAAACAGATGAGAACGGTCTAAGGTATGTTGTTCATAGCCTGTTTGTGTTATTTCTAAGTTTCACTCGTAATTAGGCTACTGGAAAACAATATTATAACAACGCATTCTCTCTCTCAGATACGCCACTCTCACATATAACGAGGCTACAAAGAATCACCTGGACCCAAGGGAGAGGGGCAGGGAGTTGAAGAGGGGATTCATGTTCGAGCATCCAGGGAACCCACTATGCCCGGTGGCATCACTGGAGAAATATCTATCGAATAGCCCGGAGAACGCCCTTGCATTTGATCTCCACCCAAGGAGAGGAGAGTGTATCTGGGACTCGATCTTGTACACGTCAGAGTCGATGGGCGTGAAATATCTGGCAGCACTTCTACCCAAGATCTGCAGGGCAGCGGGAACAACTACATACACACATCACAGCATCAGGACCACGACAGTCCAGAAACTGGCCAATGCTGGTTTAGAAGCTAGGGAGATTATGTCAGTGAGTGGTCATCGGTGCGTAGGTTCGCTCCATAGCTACTGGCGTCCCTCACTGACAGACAGAAAACGCTGGAGCAACATCCTGGCCGAAAACAAAGAGAACACTTCAGCACCATCAACACCCAAAAGGCTGAAGCAAGGCAGCAGAAGTAGTAGCACTGACTCCTCATCCAAGTGAATGTACAGATAAATGTGACATACAATAAGTAGCTTCAGCTATGTCAGCTGTGGTGGATAACAAAGATAATGTATGGTTTCATTTATTAAAATCAGCTCAAATGAATGTCATGGATTGTCTTTCTTTTGTCTGAACAGTGTCCTGACAAGAGAGCACATTTTCTCTGCCAGGCAAAGTCGCGCATCATAAACTGATTGTTATGGATGTATCCAAATAAATGTCACTAGAAATTAAACAAATGCAAATGCAGCTACTTTGCTGGCTGTTATTCTGGCTGAACTTTTTGACGTAACTGTAAATTAGCCGTAGTTGGCTAGCTAGCAAGCAAGAACGTTGCCAGCCAGTATGGCAATGGAACATTTAGAACGAACGACTGGATCGCGTCTATATTTACAGAACAAAAAGACTGAACGACTGGGTAGCGTCCATAGATACAGAACAAAAAGAACGAACGACTGGGTCGCGTCTCTAGCAACCCTAGATTTGTGTCGGGACTATATCTTGTGGAAGGATGAAATAGTACGAATAAATTAATCAAAATAACGTTTTTAATGGAAAATATGTCAATCATTATTTGAATATGTTGGTAACCAGTTGTATAAAAGTGATAATGCCCTCGAAGCCGGTGTTTGTTGGATATATTGGTATATATATAACAAACCGGCTTCTCAGGCATTATCACTTTAAAAATGTTGATTCAAGTTCTGAATCTAGAAAAACATACCAAAATGCTAACGAAATTAGCCCTGGAGCGTTATACACTGAGTGTTCAAAACTTTAGGAACACCTTCTTAATATCGAGTTGCACCCCCTTTTGCCCTCAGAACAGCCTCAATTTGTCGGGGCATGGACTTTACAAGGTGTCGAAAGCATTCCACAGGGATGCTGCCCCATGTTGACTCCAATGCTTCCCACAGTTGTATCAAGTTTGCTGGATGTCCTTTGGGTGGAGGACCATTCCTGATACACACAGAAAACTGTAGAGCGTGAAAAACCCAGCAGCGTTGCAGTTCTTGACACACTCAAACCGGTGTGCCTGGCACCTATTACCATATCCCATTTGTCTTGCCCATTCACCCTCTGAATGGCACACATACACAATCCATGTCTCAATTGTCTCAAGGCTTAAAAATCCTTCTTTAACCCGTCTGCTCCCCTTTATCTACACTGATTGAAGTGGATTTAACAAGTGACATCAATAAGGGATCGTAGCTTTCACCTGGATTCACCTGGCCAGTCTATGTCATGGAAAGAGCAGGTGTTCCTAATGTTTTGGAAACTCAGTGCATAGCGCTATTAAACAAAACAAAAATAAGTGTAGGGATTTGTATTACATATTAAGTTAGACTTATTTGTATTACATATCATGTTAGACTTATTTGTATTACATATCATGTTAGAATTAAACAATTAAGGCCTTTAAATACTTGTTGGACAATAAATGTAAAAATGAAATGCCTTTTATGGTGTCTGACGGAGAATTAGGAGGTTGTTCCTTTACATGGTGTGATAGCTAATACTTTGGTCTATCAAAATATATACAGTATTTCAAATGTTGCTAATATTAAGAAACATTTGTGGGGAAAAAGTACAGATTGTCCCGTTCTCCAAGAGTCCCTGAGATACAAGAAATGTACGACACAGGTGCACAAATACAAGCAAGGGAAATAGCACCGTAATGATAGGTGATTAGGGCCACTACTTAGGAATGTAGAATTTAACACACCTTGGGTAGGGTCATGCTGGTCCCAGTTTGGGAGGGTAGGGTCAGGGTCTGGGCGGTGGTCTGGAAGGGGTGGGAGTTAGATGGAGAACGGCAGAGGAGAGGGCTTTTAGGGGTGGAGGTGGGGGAAGGGGTGTCAGGGGTACTGGGACCTCCGTGGGTTGTTTCATAGGTGGAGGAAGAGGAGGAGGAGGAAGAGGAGGAGGAGCGGAGACGTTGGGAGCGGAACTTGCTGCTGAGCTCATCCGAGGAGTGGTCTCTGGGAGTAGCGCCACCTAGTGGTTGGTCCTGACCTCCAGTGGTTGGAACAGGACTACCAGGTCGAGCCCCAGTCTCCCTGCCCCAGCTGCCCAGAGAGGGAGTTTTTGACAGGGTTACTGTCACAGTGCTGTGGCCTGTTGTGTCTCCTCTGTCCCCTCTGTCACCGCTCCGTTTACAGGGCTGCTCTGCCCTGTCCCCTGGACCTGTCTGTCTTCCCCAGCCTGTCTCCTCCTGGGCAGGCGGGGTCCCAGGACAGCTTGGGGGGTATATGGGGCTGCAGGGTACCTGGTGGGTGTCTGTGGAAGGAGAGGTGGGTGGTCCAGGAGATGAAGGGTTCTCCAGGATAGCTATTGAACAAGAGGGAAAAAGATAGTCAATCTAGAGATACAGCTGCAGCTTTTGGCAATATCACAACATGTACTGTAGAACATAGGCCCACAGCAGGTTACCACTAAGGTGACTAGGCCCTGATACTATCAAAGTAACATAGGGTGTGCTCCAGGGCTCTGTGCTGTGCCCCCTTCTCTTCATAATCTACATACTCCCACTCGGACAGATCCTTCTAGTTATTGCGGTGACAACAGCTGACTAGCAGGTGGCTAGCATCGAAGGCCTCTGGGTGAGGGTGTTTGTCTGTTAAAACAGTGTGGTACTCTCAGAGAGTATTCTGAGTAGATTAACAAAAATTCCCAGGAGTTTTGTACAGCTGTAGTGGAAGGAGGATCACCTTGGAGTTTGTCCTGCAGCATCATAATCTGTTCTGCCTGCTTCAGGTTGGATATCTTCAGCTGCTGGTTCTCAATCTCCATCTGAAAAACAGTACAGAATGAAGACAACAATAAGTAGAAGTTTTGAGTTAATTGTTCTCATTGTCTTTATCAACTGATCATGAGCTATGTTTGTGTTTCAGTTTAAATAATGCAATCTTTGACCTGGCTGGTCTCTATAGGATATATATGTATTGTACACGATGCCAGTATTGTGATACTACGATACCAGATTTTCCTTGGCAAAAAGAGAAAACACAAAGCAGACTAAACTCTATGGTCCTTTAAAAACCTACTTTATGTAAAATATTGTGTGCTATACAGATGTAGGATCTTAATTTGATTACCCTGTTGCAGTACATTTAAAATGTGTAGTGTATTTGAGGTTTAAAAATACTTCTGTAATTTCCACTTTGAAATTTCATACTTGATTTTCCCTTACGAAAAATGTATCAACCCCAACAAAAATGTATATTAATTATAATCCACATAATAATTCACATTTCCTGTTGCTGGAGGATTATTTTCCTGCTGTAGCAAACTGGCTCAAATAAATGTCCTACATCTGTAGCTTGCAAAATAAACAAATGTGACACTGAGTGACAACATAAGGCAGTTTTTTCCAACATTAGAACTGTTTTCTTCAGGAAATGAAGTCCAATTCATGTTGTTTCCTTTGCTTCCTTGCTTCATAGTATTGTGATACATACTAGTATCGTGACAATCCTACTGCATACTGTATTTGAACTTAGCTTACCTCTCGTAGCTTAAATGTAACCCAGTCTTTGATTTTAGCAGCCTTCTCCTCAATGATCTTAGCCTCCTGGGCTCTAACTAAGATCTATAGGCCAAGAAAACAGGGTTTAGGGTTAGTCAGGGGTTCATCATAACCCACATATTATGAACATAAATTGACATTTATGTTCCTTATCTATAGTTGCTTCCCAAATGGCACCATATTCCCTATATAGTGCACTGCTTTTGACCAGGGGCCATAGAGCTCTGGTCAAAAGTAGTGCACTATTTAAGGGATAGGAAACCATTTGTGACTCACACTATAACTTCCATACCTGTTTTTCCAGCCGCACCTCTAATCTCTTTATCACAGCATCTTTCTCCTGCACCTGATTGGTCAGCTCCTGGTACCTTCTGTACAACGAGTTCTCTGATTCGCTGGGTTGTATATTTGCAGATTTCAGCTTCTCTTCCATGACATGGACCTGTAATAGATCATTAACTACAGTATGATTACATGCTCATAGACTCACAAGATAGATGGGAATAAATGGGCTCTTTCTCTGACTATCAGTAGAGGAGGAGACAAAAGCTGAGCCTCGATGGTTATCCAGAGCATAGTGCAGAACTTAAAGGAATGAGAGGGAGACAAAGACAGAGACAGAAAGTGAAAGAGAGAGAATGTTCTGAACATCTCTTTTGACTTTTGTAGTGGAGATGAGCCTGACTGTGGGCACACTGTGCTGCAGCTACTTGAGGCGACTGAAGCTTTTCCAGTAGTTTGAAGTAGCTGAAGCTGTGGTTTCAAAACTCTGCTGTACCTGTTTCTCAGCGCTCTCAGCCCGTTGGTCAGACTCTGTAACCCTCTGCTCCAGCTCCTGCATCTAGGGGACAAAAGGGTTGCCATGGTTACTCCTTCCTATGGTTCAGCTGTGTCAGTATGGGGTTAAGGGGGGTCACGGGAAAATCCTGTGTGTGCGTGTTTGTGTTTGAGAGGTAATTCTGAGCCTCCCCCATCACAATTGCTAGCTCTAGTACTTACACAAACTCAGCAACTCAACTCAGCGACGCTGCCATGCACAGGTTCAGGCAAGACACATCTTGTAATGTAGGCTAGCACACACACACACACACACACACTCTGTTAACTATATAGACCACAAACACACACACGTTGGGGGGTAGGGGAGAGAGGGGAGAGAGGGGAGAGGGGGTAGAGGAGGGAGGAACCTTGGTTTGACAACCTTGTGAGAGCCATTCCTCGAAACCCATTCAACTCAGACATTCCTCTTCACAGCATGTAATCATACTGAACAATAAGACCTTGGACATTATCAGACAAGGTCGTCAGAGGGTTTTCAGGAAAAAACCCTGAACCTAACTTGATCCTATAGTGGAGGGGGGGTCAGACATTGCCTTATACTGAGCTCATCAGAGGGGGCTACGGAGTGTGTGTGTCTGTTTGTTTTTGGTTTTACTATCCTTGTGGGGACCAGAAGTCCTCAAAAGGATCATAAAACAAGGTAAAGGTGGGGACATTTTGCCAGTCCCCACAAGGAAAAGGCTATTTTAGGCTTAGGAGTGAGGTTTAGGGTTACAATTAGGGTTAGGAGTTAGGGGTTAGGTTTAGGGTTTGGAGTTAGGTTAAGGGTTAGGGTTAGGTTTAATGATAGGGGTTAGGGAAAATAGGATTTTGAATAGGAATTAATTGTTTGGTCCCCACAAGGATAGAGTGCGTGTGTGTGTGTATGTGTGTGTGTGCGCGCATGCGTGCGTGTGTGCATGTGTGTGTGTGACGGGAGGGTCAGAGGAATTATCTGTGGTGAGATCAGATGTTTTTACATTTCTAGAGGACTAGTCCTTCAGCACTGGGGCATGACAAGGTAAACCTAGACCAGAGCGATAGAGCTACACGTCAGTTAAAGCTTAGCTGTGTACACCTCGCAAAGACTGCCTCAACCTCTCTGACATTAATACCATAATAAGGATAAGTTTAGCCCATATAGGTACACTACCGTTCAAAAGTTTGGGGTCACTTAGAAATGTCCTTGTTTTCCATGAAAACATACATGAAATGAGTTTGAATAGGAAATATAGCAAAATGAATAGGAAATGTAGTAATTGACAAGGTTAGAAATAATTATTTTTAATTGAAATAATAATTGTGTCCTTCAAACTTTGCTTTCGTCAAAGAATCCTCCATTTGCAGCAATTACAGCCTTGCAGACCTTTGGCATTCTAGTTGTCAATTTGTTGAGGTAATCTGAAGAGATTTCACCCCATGCTTCCTGAAGCACCTCCCACAAATTGGATTGGCTTGATGGGCACTTCTTACGTACCATACCGTCAAGCTGCTCCCACAACAGCTCCATAGGGTTGAGATCCGGTGACTGTGCTGGCCACTGCATTATAGACAGAATACCATCTGACTGCTTCTTCCCTAAATAGTTATTGCATAGTTTGGAGCTGTGCTTTGGGTCATTGTCCTGTTGTAGGAGGTAATTGGCTCCAATCAAGCGCTGTCCACAGGGTATGGCATGGCGTTGCAAAATGGAGTGATAGCCTTCCTTCTTCAAGATCACTTTTACCCTGTACAAATCTCCCACTTTACCACCACCAAAGCCCCCCCAGACCATCACATTGCCTCCACCATGCTTGACAGATGGCATCAAGCACTCCTCCAGCATCTTTTCATTTGGTCTGCGTCTCACAAATGTTCTTCTTTGTGATCCGAACACCTCAAACTACGATTTGTCTGTCAATAACACTTTTTTCCAATCTTCATCTGTCCAGTGTCTGTGTTATTTTGTACATCTTAATCTTTTATTTTTATTGGCCAGTCTGAGATATGGCTTTTTCTTTGCAACTCTGCCTAGAAGGTCAGCATCCCAGAGTCGCCTCTTCACTGTTGACGTTGAGACTGGTGTTTTGCGGGTACTATTTAATGAAGCTGCCAGTAGAGGACCTGTGAGGCGTCTGTTTCTCAAACTAGACACTAATGTATTTGTCCTCTTGCTCAGTTGTGCACCGGGCTTATAGGGGTCTGGTCAAAAGTAGTGCACTATATAGGGAATATGATGCCATTTAGGACACAGGCTCAGTCACACTGACTAAATCTAGGGGAGAAGGGGGAAACAGCGGGATGGAGTGGGCGTAGGGTGTTAGTGGTTAGTGGTGGAGTGACTCCTCACCTCAAGGTCAAAAACCTTTCGAATGAGTCCAAAGAAAGGCACTAGTGAGAGAGGAGCCAGAGAAGCAATCGAGTCTTCACCACACATTAACCAGTAGTAAAAAGCATATGGTTAGTTATAGTCATAAGTCTCTCAGCAAGATTTAAGCAGGCCAAGATGACAACGAGGGGCCATCGGTGGTACTTATCAAATGGAATGAACATTAAAGTAGCTGACACATCCAAGTAAAGCTTACTACAAACTCTACGGAGACGCAAGATTCTTAGTGTAGCGCAGTGTTGCAATGTAGTTTTTTGTCACAAAAGGGGCGGCTTCTTGTATATACACTCAGGCATTCAACATACATGTTCAAAATCCCACTCCACCCATGCGAACACACGTAGATCAGCGGAGTGGAGCTTGTAGTAACCTTTAGAAAATAAAGGAGGTCAGAGACGATTAGAGGTCAAAGTTGAAAGAGCTGGAGTTGGAATCAACCTGAGTCATGGGATTGAGACGTGAGCTGTAAGAGTTCTTCGAAGGCTGACACAGTACTGTGTGTGCATGTGTGTGTGTGCCTGTGTTTGTGTGTGTGTGTGTGTGTGTCTGCAGGGCTATCAACAGGTGTTCAACAGGTGAGCGCCCCCAGCCGCTGACCAGGCATGAGACAACTATGCCAAGTATCCAACAACTGTTGTTCACTGTGACTGACTTCAGAATCATCTTACTGCTGCATTTAATACGCTCTCATATTTCACAGAGTAACTCAACCAAGTTACTTGTAAGAGCATAGAATCTAAGATGAATCTATCTATTTAATTTTTATTTAAATGCTCAGTATTTTTTGTGTGGAAGTTAAAATGGCCTAGATTTCCTTTTCAAAATGGAGTCTTGTGTTTAGAAAGTTGAGTTGAGAGGAGTAGTAATGCTGTAAGGCTGGGGGGTGGGTAGAGTGATGGTATGGTACTCCTCTCCTCTCTTAACAGTGAGACACGCAGTGTTAACACACTGGTGGTTTGTTGTAACCGAGTATTGGTGCTAAACCGTGTTATTGGAGGCTGGCATGCTAGTTGGCTATGGCGTCATAGGATTCGGTGCCCTGAACGGTTTTCACGGAAGAATACTGTACCAAGTTAGCTAGCTGAATTAACTAAGTTAGAGTCTATTCCTAGAAAACATTGAACCGCTGTAGTTTACAACAATTATAATTTCTAAAGTGGAAGTTGGGAGAGTGTTTCAGTGAAACGTAAGTGAGGGAGGCCCCGCTCTCTCGCTTTCCCAGATGTTTAGTTCATTTCATTCAGATCTCCTTTGCATTATTGCAGCCTTTTTCTGTAGCCTGTCAACTATGTGTCTGTCTATCCCTGTTCTCTCCTCTCTGCACAGGCCATACAAACGCTTCACACCACGTGGCTGTTGCCACTCTAATCTGGTGGTCCCTGCGCGCACGACTCACGTGGAGTTCCAGGTCTCTGGGAGCCTCTGGAACTGCCATTCTGCGTCCAACAAGGCAGAGTTCATCTCAGCCTATGCTACCCTCCAGTCCCTCGACTTCTTGGCGCTGATGGAAACATGGATTACCACAGAAAACACTGCTACTCCTACTGCTCTTTCCTCGTCTAACCATGTGTTCTCGCATACCCCGAGAGCATCTGGTCAGCGCGGCGGTGGAACAGGAATCCTCATCTCTCCCAAGTGGACATTCTCTCTTTTTCCCCTGACCCATCTCCTCATTTGAATTCCATGCTGTCACAGTCACTAGCCCATTCAAGCTTAACATCCTTGTCATTTATCGTTCCCTTGGAGAGTTCATCAATGAGCTTGACACCTTCCTTTCCTGAGGATGGCTCACCCCTTACAGTTCTGGGTGATTTTAACCTCCCTACGTCTGACTTTGACTCATTTCTCTCTGCCTCCTTCTTTCCACTCCTTTCCTCTTTTGACCTCACCCTCTCACCGTCCCCACCTACTCACAAGGCAGGCAATACGCTTGACCTCATCTTTACTAAATGCTGTTCTTCTACTAATCTCACTGCAACTCCCCTCCAAGTCTCCGACCACTACTTTGTATCCTTTTGTCTCTCGCTCTCCTCCAACACTACTCACTCTGCCTCTACTCAGATGGTAATGTGCCGTCGCAACCTTCGCTCTCTCTCTCCCACTACTCTCTCCTCTTCCATCCTATCATCTCTTCCCTCTGCTAAATCCTTCTCCCTCCGATCTCCTGATTCTGCCTCCTCAACCCTCCTCTCCTCCCTTTCTGCATCTTTTGACTCTCTATGTCCCCTATCCTCCCGGCCGGCTCGGTCCTCTCCTCCTGCTCCGTGACTTGACGACTCATTGCGAGCTCACAGAAGAGGGCTCCGGGCAGCCGAGTGGAAATGGAGGAAAACTAGACTCCCTGCGGACCTGTCATCTTTTCACTCCCTCCTCTCTACATTCTCTTCCTCTGTTTCCGCTGCCAAAGCCACTTTCTACCACTCTAAATTTCAAGCCTCTGCCTCTAACCCTAGGAAGCTCTTTGCCACCTTCTCCTCCCTGCTGAATCCTCCTCCTCCTCCCCCTCCCTCCTCCCTCTCTGTGGATGACTTCGTCAACCATTTTGAAAAGAAGGTTGACAACATCCGATCCTCATTTATTAAGTCAAATGACACCGCTGGTCCTGCTCACACTGCCCTACCCTATGCTTTGACTTCTTTCTCCCCTCTCTCTCC